GGCTTTGGGTTTAGGGTGTAGGGTTTGGGGTTTTACGTGGTCTGAGGTTCCTTACTACTTGTCAAAACATAACGAAGGGTTCCCCTAAACCCTCAACTTTAGATCCGTCTTTTGCTCTGAGGATCCTTAATTAGAAAGCACCAACTGAACAAAGGCAGCCCTTTTCTACTCCTGGGTTACTGGGGTTCCTAGTTGTCGAAGGGAGCCCTAAACCCCTAACCCTTATCAACCCTAAACCCTACCGTGGCAGGGGGAGCATATTGTCTAGGGTTTCTTGGGGAGCTCAGGTGCATGATAGGACCCTGGACCCTAAACAGACTCGACCTCTGTGGGGTTTGATCTGTGTTCCTGGTGTGAGTCGCATGGAGAACTAGGGTTTCAGACCTGGGACCATTATGGACCTTCGAAGCTTTATGTCATCTCATCTGAGGTCTAAACATGAGGTCTAAACATAAATAGTGTGTTCTCAACTCGCAAGTGCGATTAGCACGCAAACTATTCAGGCTGCTAGATCGTGAGAGCTTCGTAGCGGTAGTGTTTTCGGTGCCCAATGATGGCCGTGGTTGTGGCCAAGTTGCTCACAACCCCAAACCCTAAACCCTAAAGCCTAAACCCTGGGTTACTGCAATGCCTGTGTTGTTGTTTTCATGCAGCCCCGTGATTTTATGTTTTGTACTGCAACTTGGTCCGACGAAGGTTTTCCGGGTCTGCCAGGTTTACTTGATTTAGGATTAAGGGCTAGGGAGCCCAAACCCTAAACCTAAGCCCTTGCAAATCCTCCCAACCAGCCTCAGGCGTGGTCTACCAGGGAGGTCCAAGTGTCGGTCGAATCCCTTCGGGGGCTACGGCCGGATGTTTGATGCTGGGCCCTGAGTCCTCTTGGCGTTCATTGTTGTGGTTTCGGTTTTAGATTGGTTTGACTGTATACAGCCTAAATTGCAAACCCCTAAACCGACAAATCCGACAAACCCCTAAAACCTAATGTCTAAACCCGTGGTTTAGGTTCAAGGACGCTGAGGAGATCCCGATCGGCCTGATTTTAGGGTTCGGGTTATTAGGTCTTCAGGGTTTTAGAGTTTAGGTATGTTTCGGTCCAGCTCATGGGACAGACGATTTTACACAATGTTGCGGGCGGAAGCAAGCTGCCAATGCCATGGGGTAAAGGAGGCTCATGAAGGGGGAGGCCGAGGAAAAAGGACTTGAGCCCTCCGGTGAAGGCAAAAAGTCGTAACCCGAAGCCCCAATACACTAAACCCCCTAAACTCTAAGCCGCTTAGAGTGTTGTTTTCTTAAGGGTTTCTGATGGCTTTCAGGCTCGCAGCTTCATGGAAACTGGGTTGAAGTGTTTATCCTTAGCTGATATGTGTTTACGGTAGGGTTTAGGGTTGAGGGAAGTGTTATCCTTTCGGACTGCCTTAGACCTCGAAAGCATCCAAAAGCCCAGTGCCGAAGCCCCAAGCGCTCTACTGACGTTCAATACAACACAGCTCCCAAGTCCAACTGCAACCACTAAAAGGCGACTCCCGTAACAAACAATCATAAACGGCCCAGAATTGAAAGACCAACGCAGTTGGAGAAGGGCAAGCGACCCCAAGCACTCCGAGGCCCTAAACCCTAAACCCAAAGAACTACACCCTAACTAAACGCTAAACCCTAAACCGTCGAACGTAGTGTTGCTCCTTTGGCATTCATGGCTGGTCGTCAACCCCAAAAGACTCGAATCTGAGGTGGAGTGGTTGCGATTGCAGGATGTTGTCATGCCGGAGGCACGGCATATTTCCCTAAGCCTTGTAAAAACATATGGGAGGTTGCCCAAGAGCGCTTTTGTAGAATGGAAAGTAGGGTGGCCACTCTAAACCCTAAACCCTAAACCCTAAACCCACTATTGTCTTTGGAGCATGTTCGTTTACTCTTCGGAATGAGGCAGGGCCCGAGGTTGGCCAAGTGAATCACCCTTGTGGCGCTAGACTAGCGATAGTTTGGCGCTAGAGAAATACAAGAATCAATGTGTAAATGCAATATATACATATATATATATATATATTCTGTATGTATATGTATGTATGAAGACAACCCAAACGTGACAAAGCCTTCGGGCATAAATTTCAAGTCGGGTGTTGTTTTCGTTCCGGCTCGAAGGAGCGATGCTTGCCGATACGAGGCTGTTGTTCGGAGGTCCCTTGTTACAGGCAGTTCATTGTTACAAGCGGTTCAGGGTTTAGGGTTTAACGTTAGGAGTAGGGGTATATATGTGTCTTAAGTGAGCTTATGACTAGTAATTCTTTGCCTCATGAAACCTCACTTATGATACAGACACCTAGTCCTTTGCACGCGGTCTTCCAGTTTGCAAAACTGCATTGCCCCAAACGAGGGTTCAGGATATAGTGTCATGGGCTGAAGCCCTAAACCCGAAACCCTATGTACTATAAACCCTGAACCCAGTTAGGAACCAGGATTTCGGGCGGAGGTTTACAGTGGGGAGCCCCCTGCGTGGGTTGTACCTAAACCAAGAAAGCCGAACATCAGATGCACCCTAAACCCTACACTTCAGGCACAAACCCCTATAAACCACAATCCCTACAACCAAACCCAATTTAGTCCCTAAGCCCTGAGCCCTAAACCCCACCTCCAAAAAGAAGCCCGACACCCGCATGCAGTCCCAAACCCTTTAATCCCTAAGCCATAAGCCCTAAACCGCTTAATCCCTAAACCCTAAACCCCACTCAACAATATCAAAAGCCCTAAACCTCTATGAAGTCCGCTAGGTTTCCTATCTCAAGAACTCCTTGGATGGCGGCAGAGAGGCTCCTCGCCCCGGTTCGCCACAACGTGTGGGCTCAGGGCCTGAGGGCCTTAGGTTCAGGATTCAAGGTTTAGGTCTTCGTGTTTAGGGTTGAGGGTTCAGGGTTTAGGGTTTAGGATTCAATTTTTAGGGTTTAGGGCTTCGGGTTTAGGGTTGAGGGTTCAGGGTTTAGGGTTTAGGGTTCAAGGTTGGGGGTTACGGCTCTCGAGGGTTTAGGGTTTAGGCTTTATGTGGGGTCCAGGGTATGAGGGTTGTGGGTTTAGGGCTTTGGAGTTTAGGGTTCCGTTTTTCTGCAAGCCCCAGCTCTAACAGCAATAAGCCTATAAACCGTGCTGCCCCTGAAAACCGAAACCCAATACACCTGAAACCTGAACATAACAACGCACTAGAAAACCTAAACCCTAAACCCTAAATAAACCCGAAACCCTAAACCCTTGTAGCTCCTGAGGTTGGCTATGCTCGCGATGGGCAAGAGCTCCCGGCGTCCGCTGGGGGCTGAGAGGAGTCCGTTTTACCAAGCTCCTGTGCTCCAGGGTTCGGCAAGGGAGGTTCAGGGTTTAGGGTTTAAGGCTTGAAGGGTTTAGGGTTGCAGGGTTTAGGATTTAGGGTTTAGGGCTCTTGGATTTCGTCAGGTATCATTTTGCATGGGGGGTGCTCGGCGGGCTGCATGGGCTTCAGACACTTGGTGTGCTTTTCTGTGTCATTTCATGTTGTTCATCCTTTTGTCTGCTCTTCTTTTATAACAACTTTGAGGAGCCCCTTGTTCTGGGCTCCACTGGGCAAGATGGCAGCAACCTCCTCACGAGAGATCTGGATGCAGAAGCAATCCGCAGAGGCGAACCAGCAAGCTGATGCAATCTCGTCGAAGATGATGGCAGACGGCGCGCAAGGAACCCTCAGCAAGCTTCTGACAATTCCGGAGGTCCAAGGATCGAGTGGTGAAAGCAGCGATTGCCCAGCAGTCATCCACGGCAACAGCCGCCACTCGTGATTACCTAAACCCTAAACCCTAAACCGCTGGCTGGCTGAAGTCGCTGTCCCAAGAGGACACGAGGCACATCTTGACGTGGATCGCTGTGGAGCAGCTGGGCCCAACAAGAAGTTCCCCACCATGAAGCTGAGCGCCTAAGGAATTTAATTAGGCTCCTATTTAAATATTAAGAATTTAGGTTGTGATGTGGAGATCCTGAAAGGGTTTCGGGGCTGATGATGTCTTCGAGCAGGATTGTGGGCTTCATCGACTGTTTTGGATTTCGGGTGCTGGTGAAGACATTGTGTTGGACCGAGGACGACTTGAGAAATTCCACCACAAACCCCGTCCTCACAACAAAACCCTAAACCCCAAACCCTAAAACATGATTATGCTGCAGTAATACTACAAACCCCGGTTCTAAGGCAATACCTGAGACAACGCTAGTCGTTGCTTCTGTGCCGTCTTCGGTAATCTGGAGCGAGTTTAGGGTTTAGGGTTTGGCTACCGAGTCACCGAGCAACTGAATCCGAAGAAGGTTCAGGCTTTGACCTGTCAAGTTCGTGAACTATGCTGACGAGTTACTGACTAGTTTTTGGGACTTGTGCCTTTGCAACAGATTCCAGCCGAAACCCTGAACCCCAAACCCTAAACCCTTGACCGTGAACCCTAAAACCTAAACCCTTCAAATTCTTACTTATTCTGAAAGCTCCTGTAGGTTGGTGCCGAGCTTTGCCGACATTTTGACGTCCGTGTCGGACACTGAGAGCGCGTTACAGTGATCGGAGTCCTTGGAGGGTCGGGGGACTTAGTTTATGGTTATTTTATAGACTTATAAGTACTATAACCCCAATTAAGGTCCCTTTAAGGGTACTTATAAGTCTACCTTACCTACTTACTAAGTCCCGACTCTCAAAGTAATTTATCCCGTCCCTGTGGGATCGGTTGCTGTTTTAATTCGGAAAGGAAGAACAGGCTTCGAGCTTGAATATACCGATACTTCCAGGGCAGGTACGTAAACTAAACCCTAAACTGCTTGAGCCTTTAACGTAAGGCATATAGGATTCCGGATGAGTTCACGGTGCGGGTTGCTAGCATGACGAGCTGATTGAGCTCTAAATAGAAAACCCTGAACCCATTGTCCTCGATGCTATAGTTGGAGATCCAGACCCTGATTGATGATTCAGGGTTCAGGAGCACTATTAAGCCATCAACCGGACCGCCGACAATAAAAAAAGGCCCACATATCGTAGACCCTAACCCGCAACCCTAATTTAGGGTCTAGGGTTAGGGTCTACGATATTTAAAACGCTAAAGCCTAAACCCACCCTAGACCCCAAAGCCTGCTGAGCCCAAAGTCTTCCGAGTCCCCAGATACCCCCTGTGAGAGTTTGTCCTCGAAGCACAAATCCTAAACCGGAAACCCTAAATCCTGAACCTTAAACCCCAAACCCTAAACCCTTAATCCGTAAACCTTAACAACTCTCAACCCTACGGCTTGGGCCACGACCTGGGCTTGCCAAGGTCTACTTGGAAGATCCAAAGACCTATGAGCCTTGCGTTGTGCGGAGACCCAGTGGCGGGCTCTTCGGTTTAGGATTTAGGGTTTAGGGGCTTGGGTTTAGGGTCTAGGCGGGTTTAGGGTTTAGGGGTTCAGGGGTTTAGGGTTTAGGGTTTAGGCTTTACTGCAAACTCTGGTCCAGCATCAGGCATCCTCAGTGCCGAGCCGCCACCACAGCGTAGTGTTTATAATTAAAGCTCAAGCCATGAGTCCTAAGAAATATTTCGCTTAAAACTCTTCATGGCCCGGCCCAAATAGTATATACATAAAGGCCTTACTGCACCATATGTAGGAGAAACCCCCTGTCGGCCTAAGTATGTACGATTTAGGTACATGGAGCCTGAGGGCTTCAGGGTCCATGGGCCTGTAGCTATGGGTAATATCGGGGCTTCAACAATTACCGATACTATTTGTGGGGTCCCTCATATATTTATACTATAATGGGCCCCAAACCCTATTCTAATATAGTACGGTGGTCAGTATCCTAGCTGGGGTTGTGGGTAGACGTTACTTGTTGCCTCGCCTTACTTACTGACTTGGTCGCCCCATCCTTTGGGCACAGTCTCACGACTTACACCCCTTGGCCATTATCCCTCGCCTCACACCAAAAAAAAGCTTTACAACGCTAGACAGCCCCTCACCAAGCCTTACAAAGAGGCTAAAGGCCCCTCAACCCTAGCCCAGCTTCAGATGCAAGGATGACCCACAGCCTGTGCTGCCACCACCGGTACGAGGCAGGTCCCAAATCCGGGCTTTAGGCTTTTGGTTTGGTCTTTGGGGTTAGGGCTTAGGGCTTGGGGTTGAGGGTTTGAAGCCCTGCCGTGGATTTCAAAGAGTTCGTGCCTTTGAGCATCTTTGCCCATGCAGGTACTAGTCTGCATATCTGTATAAAGATACACAATGTTGTATGTATATATATATACACATATACATATATAAATACATATGTATATATATATATACAGACATATATATATATATAGACATGTAGAACCCCGAAGATATCTGCAGGTGCTGACTCCACACCGCGGCCTGGACCGCCCCCGGCGACACCGTGGGGACCTTGGGAGGTGTTAGGGTGTACGGGTCAGAGGGCTCGGATTTAGTACTTCAGGTTTAGGGCGTATAGCTTATAGGATCTAGGGGGTTTACCACAAACCCCAAACCCTACACCCCAAACCCAAAACCCCAAAACCCTAACCCGCAAACCTCAAAACCCTAAACCCTAAACCCTTACTGACTGGGGGAACCTACTCCCAGCTTCGATGCTTTTGGCTTGGGGGGCTGGGGTTCAGATCCGAGGTAAACCCTAAAGAACCCAGAGCGAATCAACCGGTTTAGGGTTTAGGGTAACCCCCAAAACCCTAAACCCTAAGCCCCATACCCTAAACCCGAAACCAATGACTCGGAAACCCTAAACCCTATAAGCCCCAAACCCCAGTCAGTATCTCAGAGGAAGCCAAGTGGGTCTGCATGAAAGCCTGGGTTTAGGGGTTTAACAAGCAGCCTCCCGTTCTTTTACAACCATATTGTCACATGCGAAACCTAGAACCAGAAGCCCGAAGGCTACCCAAAGCAGCTTTTCTCCACACAGTGACATGTTGTAAACACCCCCTTGATAGACATCGCATAGCCAAAGCTTGCTTATGAATCTTACTGAGGTTTCGCCAAGCATGAACGAACTGAACGAGCTCGTTACACAACGATATTACCTGAATCATCAGATCAAGCACGGCTATTCTTCAATTTTATAAACTAGCTAAACTGTCCTTCACTTACCAGACAAAAATCGCCACTTAGACCGACCATAAACATGCAACAATACAGAGGTCCTACAGGAGCCAGCAGTATCACCATGAGCAGCTTGTAAAAGATCCATAGAAACCAAACTCCTAACCCCTAGACCCCTAAAGCTCTAAACTTTATAAACAGATCCCTGACATCGATCCTCGAAAGATATCCAAAATAATTCTAAACCCTAAACCCTAAACCCTAAACCCTAAACCCAAAATAATTCTAAACGCCCGTAAAGCCAACTCCCCGAAGGCCACCGCACCAGCCAGCCCACGAGCTGCCACACGCTCGGTCGAAGTTTTGTGTGCTTGGGGTTTAGGGCTGAGGGTTTAGGGCTTTGGGTTTGGGGTTTAGAGGGTTTAGGGTTTAGGACTGAGGGTTTAGGGCTTAGCTTCAGGGTTTAGTTTTAGGGTTAGGCTTTTCGTGTTTAGGACTTAGGGTTTAGGGCTTCGGCTTTAGGGTTTAGGCTTGTTTTGTTCCGATGGCGACAAATATGACGACCAAACGTTCATCTACTTGGAATACCAGGTAGCTGCTTGTGTACGACTACGACGCCGCTGGCAGATGCAAGTTAATCTACAAGCAAAGATCCCAGGCAGACTGTCTATGGAATTTAGGTTTTTGAGATTGCAATTTGAGGGCTTACTGTGTTCAGAGAATGGGTCTGGCATGCTCATGCTCAGCTACTGGTAAATCCTACAATTCGAACTGTCCTCTTGAAGAACCTGATGACCTGGTTAGGTACCTCTGCACGTCAGGAACATTGCCGAAACCGAAACCCTAAAGCCTAAACCCTAGGCCCTAGAGCCCCACAACCTGAACCCTAAACCCTAAATCCCGATTGCAATCGATTGGAGTGCTTGGGCTTCGGCGATTCTGAACCCTGCTTTAAAGATTAGGATTAGGGTTTAGGGTTTAGGGATTACTGGACGAAGTACCTTAGGTAAGGCAACAAGTACTTCTCTAAGGCTTTAGGAGCTTGGACCCCAATTTCGGGACCCCATTCAACGTACTTGTGAGCCAAGCTTTTACTCTAAAACCCGTGAACCTTCAGGTGATCTTGAAACCCAACCCTCGCAGTCCGACGCAGAGCGGCTCAAGATTCTACTGTTGCAAGAGATGCTGCCATGGCTTCCACGGATGCGACTTTGCTGATCACAGTCTAGGGCAGTTTAGTGCTTCAGGTTTAAAGTTCGGTGGGTAGGATGGCGCGGCATGGAAAGTTTCATATAGGCGCAAGCTTAACCCTAATTTCCTCATCAGAATCGGCAAAAGCCGAGGCACCACGATACGTGGCACGCTTAAATGGGGGTCACTTTCTTTCATCACGTTCATAACCTCCCAAGAGAGTTCGGGTGAAGGGTAAGGGTGTGTTCTTCAGGGTTTCTGGCTTGTGCAACAGATCGGGTCTGAGTGATGGTGGTGAATTCTAGATTCTAGACCCTAAACTCCTTTCTGTTCTTTTGGTATAAATCCGCAATCCAATTCGCACAGCTTCCAAGTCTAGACCCCAAACCTTCGACCCTTCACCCGGTTGACCTGACATATACAGTCTGTACATTCGCACCTAGGGTTTGGTAACTACATATGGCATGGTAAAGTATACTCAAGGATGTTCCTGCTTCTTGGCAGAACCCTAAACCCTAAACGAGTCGGAGTGGAGTTACAGTTTATAAGTTTGATACCTCGAATAGGTCAGAGAAGAGTTAGATTCGGTTAGGTAGCCTCTCAGATTTGGGGTTTGGTCGTACCATGAAGCTTGAAGACCCTAAACCCCTAAACCTCTAAACCCCTCAACCCCTCAACCCCTCAACCCCTAAACCCCTAAACCCCTAAACCCCTAAACCCTAAACCCTAAAACCTAAACCTCCTCCTGATACCTGATGTGGAGGTCGCGGTTCTGTCGGTGAGGATTGCCAAGCAGCGCAAGCCTCGTCCACGACGGAAGGCCTTATTCACATTAAGTACCCTAAGCCCTAAACCCTAAACCCCTAAACCCTAAAACCCTTTCTTTCTTTCTTACACTGTCGTAATAAGGCCGAAGCTTTCAGCCTGAAGCCTCATCCTCAAACCCTGTCTCAGGCTTCATGTTAGCTTGATGAAGTGTAGATCTAGAGTCGAGGATGCGTGCTTTCCGGCCGAGACCTCTGACAATACCAAGAAGATTTGTTTCTCCTGGCCAACAGAGTGTAAGTTATACATGCATTGCATACAGCAATATAGTATAAACTGCAGGTCGCAATAGCCTTTTACAGTCGTTTGCAGCAGTCCTCCAACAACACTCTCAAGCCTTGACCCTGAACCCTAAACCCTCAACTTTAAAACCTAAATCTTCAAGCTCAACCGGGAGGGTTTAGGTTTCACAGTGTGCGGGGCGCCGCCAAGCATATCCAAAGACCTGAAGCCTTCGCTTCCGGGTTTGAGACTTTTCAGATTACAGGAATTCGGGTTTCAGGTGCACCATGAGTGTTGAGGCAGGGTGTAGGAACTCTGGTTTGATTCTTTATTTCTGGTGTATGGTCCATAGCATAGCATTCAGGGTTCATGGTTTCGGTCTCATGGGTTGGGTCTATTTGTGAGGGTTTGTGACATACTGTTGATGATATAACTTCTGCATTATCTTAAGGACCCTAACCTATGGGAATTATTGTATAATCCTTTTTATGTGTAATGCAAGATTTACATCATCAACCGT